TCTTAGATAATGGTGCTTCCAAGAGGCACACTCTGTACTTGCCCCAGTTTTGAGGGTCAAGGGAAAAGGTTCCAGAATTCAGAGTTTGCTCTTTGGAAAGGGATTTTTTTTGTATTGTTTGTTTGTTTTGCACAAAACTAAGTCTAGGTGTTTGGGTTAGTTGGAATTATATTTTAATTCATTTCTCTTGTAATAGTCATAAATATCAATTTTGTAAAATGATGATTGCTGCATTTGTTGTGACCACAAATTTCCAAATATTGTGTTTATTTACATATTAACTTACAATATTGTTATTGATTGACTTAAGGACCATATTATGAAATATAAAAGTGGATTTTTATCACTGATTATATTACTTGGAATCATATTATTATAAAACTTTAGTTCTCAATGTTTAATAATACACATGATTACTTTGACACACTCTTGGTATTTCCATCAGAAATATAACCTTAAGTGTCTTCTTTAGAACTGACATGAAGGTTGAAAGAAAACTTCAATACTTTTAGAAATTTGTGTTAAGCAATATTCTGTACATAATTATTGTTGGATTAATAACCTAGGTATTAGAAAGCAAGAGCCCATTTCTCTTAGTCGTGTTCATAAGTATAAGCACATTTTTGTATATTGTGTTCATATTCTCACATCTTATTAAGCTTTTCCCCTCAGTTTTTCACGTTGTTTGGGCATACTTCTGGATATTTCCTAAGGGATTTTAAGCAAGTTCTTTACGGAGATTCAGCATAAGGTGTAGGTTCCCTAGCTACTGTAAGTTCATATTTATTAGTTCCTCAATTTTAAGTGATCTTTAAACTTGTGAATAAAATTGTATTTATAGTTTTTAAAATGTGGAGCTGAGGATGCAGCTCATTTGGTAGAATGCTTACCTATCAGGCACAAAATCCTGGTTTCAACCCCAGCTAGCTCTACATGGACTAAGAATGCACATCTGCAATGCCATTACTTGGAGGTGTAGGCCAGAGGAGCAGAAGTTAAAGGTCATCTTTAGCTATATAAAGACCAGCCTGGGCTACATAAGACTTTGTCTAAACAAACAAACAAACAAACAAACAAAAACAAAACCTAAAAAATTTTTACTTATATTTTGCAGTAAAAGCAAAAATGAGCATTTTAGTTCCTATATTTAACATTCTGGTAAAGTGTGATATAGTCGTGCATGGTAAACAGAATCCTTTAAGAGTTCCCATTGTTCATTTTATACTTATATGCACAGCAATGAATCACCCCTCCCGGGAAGGAACCACATCTGTCAGTCACAATTCCTTGTCTGTCTGTACTCTCCCCACTGCGCATCTCCATGCTTATCTACCTGTCAGATCCAAGGGAAACTCCATTTCCCCAAATTCCAAAAGGTAGAAGGGACAAATGGCTGCCTATTAGCATACCTACCAAAACTCATGCTGGCTTCCAGACTTCCTCAGTATCATAAGTACCTGTTACACATTTCAAAGTCCACACTAGCCTCCTACCGTAAACTCGCCCAGCTCACAGACTTCCCTACCCTCAGGTACTCATTCTCCTTATAATACTGCTATTTTTGATATGCTCTCTCTCTGTCTCCCTCCTTCCCTCCCCCTCTCTTTCTTTCTATCTCCCTTCTTCCCTATCTCCAGCTCTCTCTGCTCTCCCACACTCGCCAACTCTCTCTCTCTCTCTCTCTCTCTCTCTCTCTCTCTCTCTCTCTCTCTCTCTCTCTCTTCCTGCTTCTCTCCTGGTCAGATCCAGCCTGCTGGCCATGTTCAGTCTACTGCTTTCTTTCTCTGCTCTGGACTCTTCCAGATGTCTTTGGATGTTCTCTCTTATATGTACAATTAAAACCTTCCCCTTCACCGTACCATGAGCAGCCATGCTGTGAGTTTATACACTACCTTTTACATGTCTCCGAATCTTGTGAGGATGGGTCTCTTAATCTGTACCCCCCAGGAGTCAGCATCATAATTTTGAGATTGATCCATACTGTTTGTGTATGAACAGTCTGAGCCTTCTCTTCGCAGATGGAGCCACCTGTTTGAACGATACACACTTCCTCTTCTGTCTTCCAAAGAGATCGGGGCTGTTTTTCCCCTTTACTCTTTACTTCGAAACCAAAGCTGGTACACCAATACCCCTGCGAAGCATCCCAGCACATCTCTCCGCAATCTGAATTGACTTGGAAAAAAAAAAGCCAACTCAGGTGTAGCTATATGTACTCCAACTTTAGGAAATTAGGACTATTTTTAGGATTCTTGTTAAAGACAAAGTTCACTGCATGAGGCATTTTAGTTACTTTTCATGATCTCCTATTTAGGCTTACGTCGTTGACTCATTCGGGCTTTATTCAACGACATTGCTCTACTTCCCTATTGCTGGGACAGACACTCTGCTAAGATCAACTTTCCCATCCATTCTGGTGAGGAAGATAGAGTAGCCATAGGCAAGAGAGGCTCAGTGTCAGGACCACCCTCTCTTCTTCCTCCCTCCCTCCTTCCCCCTCCCTCCCTCCCTTTCTCCCTCCCTCCCTCCCTCCATTCATGCATCAAGTATCATATTTTGGGTATATCTCAAATTGAATCCCAAGTATATGTCTTTTTAAGTAGTTAATGACTGTCATTATCTATAATTCATTTTTACATGTCTTTTTCTATAAAAAAAATCACAGGGAGCAAAATTTACAAGCCTTTAATATATATCATGTTTCAGAAATTCGTATTACCAGTGTAACTCAAGACCTTTCAGCATCTGCCCTATTACAGTACTTCACAAGTGGGCGTGCTCCCTTCCCCTGGTCATGGGCTGATCTTCCTCATTATGACTGCATGTGCCATTGAGTCTGTCTTATTTTGCCCTGCACTGTAGTTATATAGTCACGTTTCCCAGCAGGACAGTGGCCGTTCTTTTCCGCTTCTGACTCCAAGTCTCGCCCGTTGAGTGTTTATCCCTGATGAATGTGCAGTCTTGAAAATCGCTAGAATCAATGAACTTGAGGGTATATATATAGACAAGTCAAGAGCAACCAGTGAAGGACGTTATCAGAGTCACTGGGAACTTACTCAGGGGAACTATCTTCATCCATCACTTCAGAGTCTCCAAGAATTGACATCATGGAACTTAGAAAACCCCACACTATTCACGTCTCTTTATTTCTCCGTTAGCTTTCAAGGACTAAGATGTGAGGATGTGATTATTTCGGGACAAGGTCATCTCATGTGTGTATTTTGAATGTTTACTGATCTTTAAATGATAAAAATCACCAAGCCTAGAAGAAAAAAAAAATGACTCTGAGCAATTGTTACACAGTGTTGGATCCAAGAACAGGTCGGGCCATGGTGAGCTAAAAATTGCACTTCACTCAGGCACCTTCACACACAAGGCTAATAATGCCCTAGCCATGCGAGAAGCAGGAGGCTGGAGGTGTCTCTTTCCTGGAGCACTGGCCTCCCTGGAGCTGGCTGAGGGATGGCGTCTGCTCAGAGGCTGATGCAGACCGGCGAAGGATGACCTTTTTTTTTGTAGCTGATACATTCTAAATATCTTAAGGCTTCTTATTATTTGGAATAACGTCATCACTACTGATCCATGTTTTCTATCACTTTTCCAGCCTGATTTTGTTGGCTTTCCTAAGAGGCCCGGTCGTTGCTGCCCTGTTGAAAATTTCTACCTTGTCCATTTTCTTTTGAATAAGTTTGCTGTGAACATATGTTAGCATATTATAAATGTAAGCTTAAAATTTACGCAGAGCTTATTTTTTGACCCCCCTGCAAGCACTGTTTCTGGGTTTAGTGTCATCTCCATTGCCATGGCATAGATGATGAAGCAGGCTGAGGGGCAGGAGCTGCAGCTTGGCAGAAAAATGGCTCGGAGAGACTTCCATCTAAGACGGGGGCCTTGCAAGGGAGAGGAATGAGAGAGACATTTTGCTTACAGCCCAGATTCTATGGCTGAGCACTGACCTGCATGTGAGGCTCAGCCAGTGCCCTTGTTTGGAGCCCAGTGCCTCTGTTTGTCACTTGTGTGGTTAGTCATTACTGTAATGACAAGGATGTCATCGAATAATTCTCTGATAGCTTGTTGGGAATGGAGAGTGCCACTCTACTCCTATGTGCAGGGTCCCAGGGCACACTTTTATCTTGGCTTATAAATCTTCTGAACACACCTCTCACTGTACTCCCATCCTGACCGTGTGATTCTGTCCACAAGGCCACCCTAACTAGACACTCTCTCGGGATCCAGCTGTAGCCCTACAGAATACCCTGCAGAGGGGTCAATGCCCAGCACTATATAGACATCACCTCTGGTAAGGGTATAAAGGCAGCAGGTCACATGAGAGATCATGTCACGTATGGGGCTGTTGGACGTGTTCCCAAGCGAGACTGGGGTTGCTGTGTGTTCTGCTTGACTCTGTGCCTGCTGAATTGTATATTCCCCTGAGTGTGTCTATCTACACAAGAATCAGGCAGATGTTGAAGGGAATATCTCAATAATGACTCCCCTCTAAGGTAGGATAGAAGAAGAAAGTACCTTCTTTCCCACAACCTCCCTGACCAAGGACGTTTCTGCTTCTGCTCTGCTTAACCTCTAGTTAAACCAGATGGCCCTACCTCAGACCTCAAGGTCCTGAGTGACAGAGAATTCACAGAAGTCAAGACCAGTGGGGGAAAAGGACTTTGGGTTCCTAGAGGAGGTTATAGTGAGAAAAGAGGGCCTATGTGTAGAGAAGCTTGACTGAAGAGTCCTGGGCCCTGGCAGTGAGTGGGACTCCTGGGGGATCGTGTTCTTGTTCTTGGGGAAGGGATGCACATGGTCCCTTGTGGAGAAAAGCCTGGGGTTAAGGCTCTGAGGTCTTTGGGCAGGGGTAGAGGATACCTACATGATTTCTGGGTTCCTGGAAGTTGGGTCTCTCACTCACTCATTGTAAATTCAATTAGGAAACAGCAGCAGCAGCAGCAGCAGAGCAGCAGCAGCAGCAGCAGCAGCAGCAGCAACACTGCTTGGGAGCGGGGCAAAAAGATCCTGGACTCATCCAAAGCAGGAGGGACAGGATGGTTTGGCAGGTAAGTGTTGTCACCAAGCCAAAGCTGAGCTCAGTGGATTTCCTTCTGGCCTGAGTCTCCTTTCCTGGGTGTTGAATGCATGTTCAGGGACATGTCTAACCCTGCAGCATCTCAGATGTCTCAGATTGACAACCAGGGAAGATTACAGAGGGAAGGTATCCATCCATAGAATGAGCGACCACACAGGGTGCTATTCAGGTTCATGTTTTATTGCCCACAAACCCAGTTTGAGAGTTCACTGTGGCCATCTACAGGACAAACGACTTCCAGGAAGGGTGGTAACTGAATTTGAAAATGCAAAAAAAAAAAAAAAATGTTGAGGGTCCTGCTTTTCTTTTCCAAACTTACCCCACCCCACCCCCACCAGCCACGGACTTGTGTCAGGTTATGGGGATGCTCCTGGGCTGGTTGCTCATCTCTTCTGACTGTACTCCTTTAGCCGAAGCTCCTTCCTTTTGATTTTGCCCGTGACAGTTTTGGGCAATTCTGCAACAAACTCCACCTGGTAGAGAAGAAAGTCATCCTGACTTAGGGCTGGCTGCGGTTCCCTTCCCGTTCCCACACCCTGCTTCACCCCACCTCCCTCCACAGGCTGACACCTGAGGTGACCTCCACGGCCTCCACCGAGTCTTGCAGGTTTCTCCTGATTGCCGAAGGAAGGTGTAGTCATGTAACTTGCTTTGACCCACAAACTGAGTGGAAGTGGAATGTGTCCTCTCCAGTCAGAAGATTTGGGAACCAGTCACTAAAATCTCTATCTCTTACAGGACAAGGCAGGTGCCTCTGTGGCTACCCCATCCCAGGATGAGGGATGTGGGGCAGAGGTTATAGAAGACTCATGCTAGACATGAACAGGAGACCTTCACTGCTATCAACCTCCATTGTTTGGGGGTCCTGTAACCCTCTCTGATGGGAAGTAAGGTCTTCTGATCTCTGTAAAGGAGCCTAGACCAATGTAGCAGGCTGGTGTTGCTGTCACATATACTTTTGAATTCCAACACTCCTCTTACTGAGTGCAACCTCAGGCAACTTGAGCCTCAGCTTCGTCCCTAAAAAACATGCGTGCACGCTCTTGGACTGTGGATAGGCTTCAGTAACAGTGCACTGGGGCTAGAGCCTGGCACGGAAGTAAGTATTCTAGTACACGATACTCGTTAGCCCTGCAGCCTCCTGGCATGTGCACCTTGGTAAACGTGTGGATGGTGCAGGAACGTACTGCAGCGGAAGAAAACGATGGCTTTCTGACAGGTATGTCTCCATTTTAAAGCTGCAGGGCAGTATAGGCAGAGTCCCTCACAGCTTGCTTTTTCTCCTTCTGTACTGATAAGGTATTTTATGTCAAAAATAAAAAAATCTGAAACTGGACATGATGGTACATGCCTGTGATCCTGACACTCAGAAGACTGAGGCAGGGGGATTGTAAATTTGAGGCCAGTCTGTCTACATAATGAGTTCCAGGCCAGTTACACCAAGAGACACTGTCTCAAAAATAAAACAAAGACAAAAACATAATGTAGCAGAATGTTAAGTAAAACAATGAAAAAACTTTACCACCTGTTTAAATTACGGGACAATTTTCAATTTTGTGACTAAACAATTTCAGTATTGTTGGATATTTTTTGCATGCTGCACATGGCACTTGAAACATATGTAACAAAATAAGCATCTCAAAATACATTATATATTCTAAGAATAAATATCTTGTTTCCTTTTGTTAGCTTTATGTATGTTATTGGGGTTGAAAAATAGGGTTTATTTCTTACTATGAATCACATTAAAAAGTCTGAAAAGTATCCACTTTGATTTCTTCTTAAATTTTACAGGATAATAAATAACATTTGATTTCTTCTTAAATTTTACAGGATAATAACATTAAAAATACATTTTTAGGTGCTTTCCTGATCTTTTTCTTTTGGTTAATGTGCACCAGGGCGGAGAGTCCCCAAGAAACAAAACCTTTCGGCTGACTGAGCTGTCTCCCCAACCCACCATTGCTGCCCTCTGAGGGGTGGAGCAGTAGTCACTTGGAGCCCAGGAACGGCTGAAGTCACCAGCCGGGTCCGTCAAGCCTGGCTCACCTTTCTGGGGTACTTATACGGTGCTGTCACTGACTTCACATGCTGCTGCAGCTCTTTGGCAAGCTGTTCCTGATTGTGCAGCAGAAACTCTGGGGTCAGGACAATAAATGCCTTCACCACCTGCAGAATGGGAGTGGAGGTTCAGATGCATGCCATCTCGCAGAGCTTGCTAAACAATGTTTATTGAATGGACAAATCCACTGTAGGCTTGAGTTGATGCTTGAGACTAGGGGTTACATGGAAAAGGAGAGGGCCAGGTTCAAATCTGTGCCCTCCCCATTTCCACTACATGCCTTGGAAAAACACCTGGCCTCTCCTCACCTTAATTTCCCTCTCTGTGAAATGGGTACAATAGGAGCACATTCTTCACAGGGTTTTTTTTTTTTTTAAAGATTCCATGAGAACACGAAGTATATATGAAACACATGACCTGCATAAATTTGTTATTACTATTATCACCATTATTAATATCAATATGTATTTACTGTGTACACTGTTCTGTATCTTGAACTCAATGGGCAATAATAATTAAAATAATAAATTAAAACAGCAATGATTGTTATTAAAATGTTGTGATAATTTATTTTACACTATTAGTTATATCCCCACTTACTTGCAGAAGTCCTGGTACACAGAAGTGTTCAATAGATATTGTTGAGCCAATGAATGCATGTTCTGGAGCTTGCATTCGTGAGTGAGTGTGTGTGTGTGTGTGTGTGTGTGTGTGTGTGTGTGTGTGTGTGTGTTACTGTAACTTCTCTGCAATGAGGGATTGTTATCAGTAATTGTAAGCCAAAATAAACCCTTTCTTCCCTTGGTTGTTTTTTGTCAGAATATTTTATCATAGCAACAAAAAGGAAACTAACTAAAGGACCTATTGAGTTAATTGGGAGGCAGGGAGCTTGCCTTTTAAATGCACTGCACTGCTTTCTGACCTCAGACAAGCTACTTAGACTCCCCGCGCCTTTCTTCCCTGTAATGAGAATGTGAGATCAGACCTTGGGGTACTGGGTTTTGATTTACTTAATTTTTTGCCACATCTCCAACCTCAGACTATTGGGTTTCCTGAGGATGAAATGATTTGGCACAGGGCAGCTCTTTCAACATCAACCTTTATTCAGTCGCTGAGGCCACAGTGCCCCCTGGTGACCACCATGTGTAAGTGCACGCGCACACCAGCGGCTGGACTTCCATCCTAGGTTTCCAGTTTACGCTAAGGCCTTGAAAGTGTCCCTACCCCTCCCGTCTCTCCAGCCCTTTCACAGGACAAGGGCTTCTGTGTCCTCCTTACCTCTCCTCGATTCAGGTCCGGGCTGCTCACCACGGCCGACTCTGCCACCGCCGGATGCTCCGCCAAGGCGTTCTCCACTTCTGCAGGCCCAATGCGGTACCTGGAGAAACAACTGTTCTGAGAAGACGCCAGGGCTGCAGAGAACCAAGCTTGAAACCTTGTACTTCGAGGGTCACATGGCCACTTGACACCGAGGGTGGAGGTCATAGACAGCCAAAGACTCCAGACTAGTATTATGGACCGCCCAAATGAAGTATTTAGTATTAAAACTACCGGGCTCCTGCAGGTGTTCCTGGGGATGGCTCACTTTGTGCTCCTGGAGAGGGAGGTGGCAGAGTGATAGTTCCTTGAGGAGCTCTGGATGTTTGGCCCAAGCAGCTTCCCTCGGCCCCAGAGCCCTCGAGATCCTCACATCGTGTCCCAGCAAAGGCCGTGTCCTAGTCCCTCATCTCGGTGTGCTGTTTTATCTTTTAGTTCTTTGCTCTTCCCTTTCTTTTCTTTCTTCCTTTCCTGGTACTAGGGATTGAACCTAGGCCCCCACACGTGGAAGGGTATCCCCGATCCACCTTTACAAATTTGAGATAGATAGGATTTTAGTAAGTTACCCGGGCTGGCCTTGAGATCACTCTGTTGCCCAGGCAGCCTTGGACTTAGGATCCTTTTGCCTCAGCCCTCTTGAGTACCTGGAATTATAGGCCTGGGTTACTACACTCTTGGCTCCTCCTCCTAACTATGTAATGTTTTACTCCCATGAACGTCATTTTAATTAAATCTTTTGGGTGCAGGGGTGTGGAGGCATCCAAACACTGAGGTATTAGGATATCCTAGACATGGCTCTGTTCAGAGTCAGGCTGAGGGTCCCATCACTAAGGCATGAAGGAATGTCAGGGAGGCAGAGTGCCAGGAAGCATTTGAGGGTGCCGAGAGCCAGCCCAGGGCCAGCCACACCTACCCAGAAGCGTTGATGACGTCATCACTCCTGCCCAAGAACCAGAAGTAGCCATCTTCATCAACGGTTGCCCTGTCCCCGCTGTTGTAAAAGTCCCCACACTCCACCTCAGCTGTCTTCTCTGGGCTATTCTGTAAAGAGAACCAAGTGGTTTTGTTGAAGGGAGTGAACTTAGAGTTGATGAGCTTGGGGTCCTGTCTGGGTTTGAATTCTGCACCTGGCACTGGACAAGTCCACACACTGTGGGCTGCAGCTCCATCCATGAGGCGCCATTCAGCTCGTGTTTAAATAACAGCATCTTACTTTTGTGGGACTCTCCATCAGAACAGAGTTTCCATTCTCGTGAGAACCCTGGTTTTATTCAGCTTAGCATGTGCAGTGCTGGGACAGCTGAGAAGGATCAGCAGCCATGGTGAGTGAATCCCCTTTGCCAAGTGCTATCTAATCTGATCCTCACATGAGGCAGGTGCTTCATAATGCAAGCTTTCCTATGATAATACAGAACAATGTAAAGTAAGAAGAATAATAAGAATAAGAAACAATACCAAGAAATCCAATATGCCCTTTATCTGGTTTCTTCCAATGGTAATGTCTTGCAAAGCTATTGTTCAATATTCCAATCAGGATGTGGACATTGATCCAGTCTCTGGTCTCTCTCAGATTTCCTGCAGTTTACTCGCCATCACCAGGAGACCCTTCATAAGGCTTTTGTAAGTACGCTCCCCTCCCCCTGCTCCATCTTTCTCCCTTCACCAGCTCCGATCCCCTGACAACAACTCATCTATAGGGTTTTTTTTGTCATCGACACATAATAACTGAATGTATGTATGAGCTACAAGGTCATAACTCAACACACATATAATGCATAAAGATCAAATATGGAAAAACAACTAAATTAAAAAATTCACCAGAAGGTTTAAAAGCATATTAAAACAGGCAGAAAGAGCCAGGGAACTGAAAATACAGCACTGAAAAAAAAATAAGGTAGCAAAGTGACCAGAGCCTAAGGGACTTGTAGGACATATCAAAGCCACCGAAGGTGTGCTTCCAGAGCCTCGGAAGAAGGGGGAGGGATGGGGTGGTGTTTAACACATAACGGCAGAAAACGCTTCCAAACTCGAGGTAAGTGAAGCAAGCAGTGTCACATGATCTCACAGATATGGATTTTCTGAAACAAGCCAATTCACAAAGTTGGAAAGGGACTGAGAGGTAACCAGATCCTGGGGGTGAGGGGCAGGCTGGGGTACTCCTGTGCTATGAGCACAGAGTTTCTGTTTCAGGTATAGATTTTCTGGAGACAAATGATGTGAGGGTTTCATCCTGTCACAAATTCTTTTAATGCCATTGATGTGCGCCTTTGAAAATGGAGGAGTGAATTTTATAGTCTATTTTACTTCAAAATAAACAAACAAACAAACAAACAACAAACCAGGTCTCAATGGAGGAGTCCTTAACCATGGCCTCCAGGGGGCACTGCTTTATGTAATAGTTACCAAAACAAGTACGTGACTCTTAGCCTTAATTCTCAGAAAGAAAACTCTAACAGGGAGAAAAGAAAAACTAAAGCACACACATATGATATGATATTATATATATATGTAGGTTTGGGAATCATGGATGTGCACGTATGTGTGATTCTCAAAACTGCCTGTTGGAATAACTTAAGATTTATAAAAACACCCATGGGAACGCCCCTTGAGGCTGTGGCGTGAAGGCGTGAAGTCATAGCATCAGGTGAAGAATGGTTGGAGAAAACACATGGAGTCTGAGGTGAATTTCAGTCTGGTCACCCTTCCATAGTCTGTCTTGGAGCCTAAGAATTTCCTCTTGGGGATCACTTCTAACCAGGATGGCCAGAGTTTGTTTGATCAGGAACTTCAGCAGGTTTTCTTATGGCTCAACCCAGCTTCCTGCAGTCCCCAATTTCTCACTTAGGGTATGACACCTAAAAGATGCAGACCCTAGACTGCTCTGTTCATTAGGACATGCAACACTTCCAACTTTCCCTCAGCAAAGGGACAACTGGGCTTATCGGAGGCCCAGTCTCGTGACCCTGGAAGCCATCTTCCTCTCTCCTCCTCATTTAGCTCTTAAATTCCAAGTGGGCTAGGACAGAAAGGTCTGTGACAATGTACCGAGAGCTTAGCATGTAGTTAGAATGGTTAGAGTGTCTTTAGGTTGGAATGAAGAGAAGATGACTTGAAGAAGTCTCAGGGTGCAGAATGACCTCTACGCATCATTGAGGCAGGGTAGGGTGGGATGCCTTTACCTCATATTCCACAAAGAGGCCTAGAGGCCTGGTGGGCTTGATCCTGATGCCAAGGTATCCTTCAGTGTTGGGCGGGAGGATGTTGCCTTTCTCGTCAATGATCTGGAACAAGAAGTCCCCACAATGAGAGACTCGCTTAGCCCTGTGTACCACTGATTGGCTCACCACAAGACACTAACAGGATAAATGGGAACAACTCATGAAGGAACTGGCAGAAAAGAGAATAAAACTGTCAAATTCTTTGAAATTAGTAAATATGGAGCCTGAGACCGGGTGCGCTTTGTTTTGTGGAAATCTAGATATTATAGCTGTGTCTTCAAACTGGAAGACAGTGTAACCTGAGGGCATTATTTATTATTCTTCCTCATGCACCACATGCCATGTATCTCTCTGCCAGGTGGGCTGCATCAGTATCCACAGTAATGCACGTCTCACCTGAAGCTTCCACAGGAAATCAGGGGAAAACAGGAGGCAGGGAGCAGGGTGACTAGGGTGGGGGTGTGGCTGGTTCTACTCCCTGCTGTCACACATGGCTCCAACCCCAGTTGAGCTATGAAGTACTCTTCATCAGCACCCTAAGATGAGACCTGGATGTCGAAGGGTAATATGGCCTTCCCAATGGATCCTCTCTTGACTTTCATTTCCCGGAAGACAGCACAGCCTATCCCCTGTTCACAAAAGAAGACCAAGGTTGACCAAAGCAGGGTTACATACATGACCTCTAATAGAGGCCATTTATTAAGAATAGAATTTAGGCTATTGGTTTTGATATAGGCATTGACTCAACTCTATTCAATGGATACTTGTTATTCCCAGCATGGGCTAGATCTGTACTACATGTAGGGTTGATAGACTCTAGTGATTGAGGGAAAGATAGGAACAAAGGGGGTAAGCCTGAGGCTGTGGCACATCAGGTGGAGTGTGGAATACCTACCAGGGATGTGTCAGTTTGCACAGGAAGTCTGTGAGTCTGTTGACCATACATATCCACCTAGTTATTGGATAGTGATGGGAATCCTGCTTCGGCAACTTGGGGATAGGTTGAGATGGTTTAGATTTTTATGCCATTCTCTCTGCCAGTATCCCTCGACCTCATCTGTTTTCCCAGTGAATTCTATTTCTCCATGTAATTCTTTGTCATTCTCTCTATTTTGAGTGTTTTACAGTAAGTACTCTGGTTTCCTCCTCTATCAAAAGGGGACAAAGGACACGCTTATTTCTTACTGAGCTTGAAAACTCCCCTCCCCCTTTTCTTGGTTTTTTGAGATAAAGTCTTTCTATTGTGCCTGCATGGGCTTGGAACTCACTATGTAGAGAGTTCTAACTGGCTTTGAACTTGTGGTCTTCTGCTTAGCTGCTTAAGTGACAGGCTATGGGCATACACAGTACAAATGACTCTATTGGGGAACTTTTTTACACAGTATAAGGTACATACCAAACATTCAATGAAAGACTACTACTAAGTATTATTATTCAGATCCCAAGAAGAGTCCATAGAACATTCTTTTCCTGGGGTATTTTCTCCATATAGTACTTTTGTGCAGTTCAAGTTCACAAGCATTATGACTATTGTTTGTCTGTATGTTTCCCTCAGTAGATAGCAAGAATCCCCACAGGAGAGTCTGTCCATTCACTTATGTACACACACACCTAGCATCTGTTGCAATACACAATGACCAGAGTAACTTTGGTGTGAACTATTGGCTTAGCATTGTGGCCAAAACTTAATGTATGATGATTTGTCCATTATAATAATATCTATTTCAGAAAGCAGAATGTTAACACTCAGAAAGATTGACCCGGAGGCCTATGTATGGTCTTGATGTTTATAATGGACAGGGCTGAGCTCTGGGTAAAGAAGCTCTTCACATCAGCTGTTCCATTGCTCTTACTGTAGGTCAGTGAAGCCATTGCTGTCACTGTAGGTGAGGGAGACAGGCCATCGCTGTCACTGTAGATGGGAGAGGGAGGCCATCACCTCACTGTAGGTGAGTGAGGGAGGCATGAGTGAATGAAGAATGTGGTGTGCTTGGAGGAAAACAGCACCATCTATGCAAAGGGACTGGAGTCACCAGTGAGGCATGCTGTTCTCACCTACCCTTCTCCTTGTCTCTGTGTAAGCTATGAGCCATTCAACAACAGGTCCAGAGTCATAACAAATTTTCAGATTGGAAGCAAATCAACTCACTGATTCGTTTGTTTTGGTTAAAAACAGCAGACAAGTATGTGAACAATATCTAAAATACTCAACGTTTTATGGGGCCAGAAATAGCAGACATTCCTTTATTAGCTCAAGGGGTCCTGGGAAGTGGCTCCATCCGGCCATTAGTCATTAATGGTAAATGTGTTTGAATAACAGACTAACGAAGTCCTTGAGGTTCACAAGGTGCATGATAGTGTAAATGCCCTGACTGTCTTCTAGCTCAGTCACAATCTGGGATATCATTAAGTGTGTGTGTGTGTGTGTGTGTGTGTGTGTGTGTGTGTGTGTGTGTGTGCAGGAGTGTGTGCATATTTGCATATGGCATATACAGAAAGGCTTTGCTTCCTCATCTACTACCGCTACAATCTCATAATTTAACCTGCATTGTCCTTCTCAACACCCAGACATGAACTTTGAAAGCCAGCTCCCAACCACCTCTTTGTGTAGCTGCTCTAGGATATGAGGGTGGAATTGGCAGGATCTGCTGATGGTCTTCAAATTGCAGAAGAGACCATTCTTTCCAACTCTCCCTGCACCCACCATGTGGCTCCCCTGGGCTAACAATCTCAGGCACAGTGTCATGGCATCTTTTTAAGTTTTGCCCAACAGCTTCCAGTTCATTGGCTTCTCAATGAGCTGATGAGCTGTACATTTTTTCCCTGCCAATTTGGGATAGATTATCCTTGAACCCCAAAGCTTTCCATTGACTTTGAGCAGACCTCAGCACTCACTGGGTCACGAGCCTATCCCAGTGGTGCAGAAGGGGCCTGTTCACCTACCGTTTCTGACTGTCCATAGATCTCATGGATGAGAATGCCTGTCCTTTGCTTCCATTGCTTGTACTCCTCAGGCAGCAGGCTCTCCCCGCCGGTGGTGCAGTGCTCCAGTCTGGGGAACCTGAGACTTAGGGGAAGGCAAATATGTCAGGCCTCGGATGCTCTGCTGCGAACATAAGCATCCGGAGCTTAAAGCTTTGTCAGTCAGATCATTCTCCTTTCTGTTTCCTCCCTTTTAAATCTACCTTCTGTCATTTGACTGATGGCCATGGCCAGATGGATGCCACTCCCTTGCTGTAAGTCCCTGTTAACATTTCTGGCAGGGGGTGAGTGGGTGGTGCTGAATATTTTGGGTCAGATCAATGATGTTTTGGTTAAGTTTGGATGCTGATGCAGCAAGGAGACAAGAGTACTCAGAAGAGCTCACCTTAGAAAATCTTCCTATGGGTCCAAGAGGGACAACTTTAGACCATAAACAGCGAAAGATGAGACCCCAAGGGACACTAGGGTGTAATAGAACTATACTGACTTATTGAGGGATGTACTGTGCTAACTGAGGGTCTTTTCTATTTCTGTGTGGAGGCTGAAAGTCAGGGTTGGCAAGACTTGAGTAGAGCATCAAGACAGGTTGGGCCATTTGTAGGAAAATACAGAAAGGTAACAGAAAATAAAATTTGAGATCAGAAATCCAGAGAGGAAGAATTTCAGGGTAGAGCTTCAGGTGAGTATTTACATTAGGTACCTCATGAGATACAATCTCTCTCTCACTTCCCTCATAGAATGTCCCTAGAGGGACCCCATAAAATAATAATTGGATTCTCTGAAGAAAATGGGAGGGGAATGACTGAGGTTTGATTCAGATGGCTCAGTTTGGAGGCTAGCTGTCTGTTGTGGTTAGGGAGGTAGTGGCTTCAGAGTTTTAGAATATATGTACATGCCCATAGTCAGGAAGATTTCAAATTAGTTGAAGACCAACCCGCAAACACCAGGAAGTGAAAAGTCAAACTCCAATAAGACAACACTACACGTCCATTGGGTTGACGCACATGTACTGATAGAAGCAGGTGTTGAAAATGATGTGGAACAATGGGAATCCTTCAGTCTTGACAAAGAGAACACACTACGATTTAATCCTTTGGAAAATATTGAAGCTGTCTAGCATGAACTAGGTACCTGTGCCCTAGAAAAACATTAGAAAGCCTATTTATCTTCACCTGGGTTGCCAGTACCACAGTTAAGTGCAGCACTAGTCACCAATAGCCCAGGCAAAGGCTAACCACATCTCCATTAATACAGGGTGGTCAAAGAGATTATGATACTTTATAGCAATGAAGATGAACTAACCATAAAAGTACACAACATGAATATAGTGCAGATACATGATGGAAAAGGAAGCCATATGGCACAGAATTATATTGCATAAATAAAAGTTGAAAACCATGAAAAGCAGACCCATTTTCTCAGGAATATTTCCGTAGCTGCTATCAAGGAAAAGAGAAGACTGGGTACCAAGAAAACTGATTGTGGTTTTACTTAGGGGTCACAAGGAGGCACATAGAAGTCTCTGAAGCATTGACAAAATTCGATTTTTCTGACTCGGGGGAGTGATTGCACGGGTATTTCTAATAGTTCACTAACCTGTAAATTTTCATCTTAGGCAATTTTGTATGTTTGTTTTTGTTATGTCACAAATAATAAACCCACACACAAATGAATAAACCCTCAAAGGCGTAAGGTTACAGGGCCAGGCCTCGAACTAACTAATTAGACTGATAATTATTACTACACACACACACACACACACACACACACACACACACACACACCCCAAGGAAAAACAAACCATGGCACATCAGATACCTAAAATCCTAACCAAAGATTGCTGTTAGAAGTCAGCCAGGGCTACATACTTGGTGATTTTCTGTTGAAGAATCATTCTGTACACAGTTGGTGCAGCGAGGCATTGAGTGATGGGGTATTTGAACAGTACCTGGGGATGAAGAGATAAGGGATTTTATTTTTGTAGTTAAGATTAAAAACGTCAGCCAATTATTAGCCCTTAGGTTATGCTCTCTCTTCCAGGAAGCCTACTTATTTTTGTGTTAATTTCTTTAATACATGCGCACTAGGCATGGGTTTCACGCATGGCATGTGTCAGGTACTGTGGGGGGCAAATGCAAAAAGAGTGAATTAGTATGTTAGATAGTATAAAGGTTAGATACCAACAGAGGACATAAAAAGGATGTGCATGAGAAGGTGGAAGTTGGTGGATGTCATAAGGGAGATGTGGTGTTCTGTCAAGTACACAGCAGAGAGCAATAGATTGGGTGGGTGGGTGCTCCAAGAGGCTTATGGAGGAGATGGCATTTAGTAGGGCATTATGAAGCGAACACAGTGTCTGCAAACAGAGAGGTGGGCATGTTCATGAATCGAGGACAGAAGGATTCACAGGGAAAAACTCTCCGGAGCTGGACAAACAGCTCTCTCTCTTTCTCTCTCTCTCTCTCTCCCTACACACACACACACACACACACACACACACACACACACACACACACACACACACACACGGAGGGAGGGAGGGAGGGAGAAAGAGAGAGCGAGAGCGAGAGCGAGAGCGAGAGCGAGAGCGAGAGCGAGAGCGAGAGCGAGAGAGAGAGAGAGAGAGAGAGAGAGAGAGAGAGAGAGAGCGAGAGAGCGAGAGAGAGCAAGAGAGCTGTTCCATTTAGGGCTGAATAGAAAATTCACAGTATTTTATTCTCTGTACTCTGATGAATTGTGAGTCTCTGTATTGATGGCCCTACATCCACTTATACACTGGCAGTACTAATTGGACTGGATGGGTCAAAAAAAAAAGAGTACACTTGGTTGAGAGAGAAATGATGAAGGAATTGGAGGAGAGGCAGTGGGGAATGGATTTAACCAAAATACATTCTATACATGTATGATATTACCAGACAATAAATGAAAGTATATTTCAAAAGCCTTCTTGAAAGGAAGTGAAGGTTGTGACTGGTGACTAACATGCAAATCAGTATCAAAGATGAAGTAAGACGCTAGTCTTGTCCTATTCCAAGGGCTTAATTTTGACACTTGGTTGTAATGAGTAACACCCTCACCCGACCTGCACACCTGCTACTTGGCTCTTGCAGAGCAGGACCCAGAGGTTTGGGCTTATCCTACTTGCTTCCGTTTCTCAACACGCATATTATGGGTTTCCTACCCACAAAGTCTGATCTATAGATCCAAAGAATAGCTAAGAAAGACGCATTTTATTCCAGCTCACATTGTGATCTTGATAACATGACTTTGATTTAGTGTCCCCACATGGTGAGATGTTCAAGACCAGGAATACTTTAATTACACAGCCTTCTTGGGGTTACCCGAGTCTTTCTCAGCTGGGTCCAGCTTTGGGAAACACGCATGTTCTCTGAGAGGGTTTTGATTCTGGGAAGTTGGTCTTCTTACCTCTACAATGACTTTGGGGTCGAACTGAGGGAGGTGGTGGATGAAGATTGTAGCCCCTGATGCCCATGGTTCGATCATGGCCCCCACGGTAGCCATAATCCATCCTGGGTCTGACATGCACCACAAGACGTCAGATGTCTTCAGGTTCAACAATTTCCTGCTGACTCCAAAAGACAGTGGCCTCAGCTTTGCCACCATGGGGGTGTGTTGGCAAGGGCCGGGGAGCATTTTCAGCTAAGGAATCACCTCTCTCACTCATTTCATTTGATTTGTGTGGGGGCTCCAGACACCAAAGGTGTCCCACCACTTCATATTTCTGGGACACATGTCACTGAAACTAATTCCCTGCTAATGACCCCTCAGACTTTTGCTAGAAAAGCTGGGATGGAGTCTTCTGCTGTCTCGCTGGGTCTGAATCAGTCACTGATTTAACACTTGGGGATTCTGGAAGCATCTCTGTGGCAGAAAGAGTGGCAGTATGGGACAATGAAAACCTAATCTAACCAGAGCTGTTGGACTGTTCTCGGTCATGAGCCAATACATCCCCTATTTATCTTTGGCTTGAAGTGTTCGGTGCGGGCTTTTCATCATTTGCAATGATTAGTCAAAGGGCACTGACCAGAAGCTGAAGAGGAGGGTCTCTCGCTTGACTGCCTTCTCTTATTCCTGTCCTGGTTAGTAAGTTAGAGAACAGTGCTCAGTCTGTTCTGAATATTACCCCTTGGAGAGGAAGCAGGTAAGGGGTGCAGACAATTGGCTTAAGATTATTGAAATGATTCACCAAGGCTTAGCTCCACATATTGTTGTTCAAAGTCAGAGCTAGTCACCTGTTGGACTCAGTTCCAGGTCCTCCGTTAGTGAGAAATGCCACGTCTGTTTTTCCCATCATAGAGAAGGGAGGGGGCTCTCAGCACAGGTGTGTTTCACCCACTGTCAGAGACACAGTGACTTGTTCCTTGTGTGGCTTACAGAATGTCCTCTTGTGAAGTGCTCAACAGAATCCAAAGGGGCCTCCTGTGTCACCCTGGGTCTGTGTCAGCTACCATTCAGGATCCCACACATTCGTCTCTCACACCCTCAGAGGTTGAAGTGGAGAACAAGTTGGAGACACTTCCATTCAGAGTGTCATCTCCTCAACATGCCCGTGTGCACATACCCCTTGCCTTAGAGCTGGAAGCCAGCCTTTATTATTAATTTTTTTTATTAAGAAATTCTCTACTCACCCTACATACCACCCACAGATCTCACCTCCTCCATCCTCCCACCCCCCAGCCCTCCCTCCTAAGCCACCTCCCATCCCCACATTCTCCAAATCAAGGTGTCCCATGGGGAGTCAGCAGAGGCCAGCACACAGAGCCGAGGCAGGTCCAAGCCCCTCCCCACCACACCAAGGGAAGCCAGCCTTTAAATACTCTTTCCCTACCATGAAGGGATACAGGACCGGAATGCAAGTCCCTGGTTGTGCTTTGCCATTTTGGGGAAACCTGTAGTCCCGCTGGTGAAGAAGATGGCCATAGGATCCTTCATCTTTGACTTAATACAGGTGTGATCTGGGGGTACTGATCTGCAAAGAGAGTTGAGGCAAAAGAAGAAAAATCACACTGTTGTTTTCCATCTTCTGACGAAGCATCGTGAAGCATTGAGTGGGGAACCTGGAAATTTCAAGGCTGGAGGGCAAGCTGGTGTTCCCACGGGCAGGCATCAGACTGACTGTGGGATGATTGGACACATGGACTGGCGTGTCTTCAGTTGAAAAATGGGGGAAAAAACCCGCATGGACTAAGAAATCACAGAACACTCAGCTAGCCCTGACTATACCGCAGCCCATCCTAAGTGAGCAGGAATGGGAAGCTTCCAGCACCTCTGATTGGTGAGCGAGGGAAACTGTGTCCCTTTGGCCTGCTTGTTGTCGGGGCATCTTCCCACTGGATACTTCTGAGTCTCCTCCTATTGAAGAGACATACTGTCTAGGCTTTTGTTTGTTGTTTGTTTTCTCCTGAAAATAACCTAAATGCCGAGGAAACACCAGCACTGCCAGCTTTGCTAAGTAGGGCCCAGCATCACACTGACTCTGGGTAATCTGAATGATTTCTCAAACATTTTCATGAGTTTCAACTGTTTTCAGTGAAGTCTCTGGCTTTGTGAGAGGTCACTTGCCGTTACTGTTGAAGCAAATGGCTTTAGAAATGGAGGTGTTGCTCCAAGGAAGCAAGCCTCGCATGGTTCCTGCCTGTGCTGTGAATATTGGGGGAAACATTCAAATGCTCACAGGAGTTTTTTTGGCAGGGGGAGGGGTCTTTCTCCAGTCCTACCTTAAGCAAGGTGTCCCCAAAGGTACCCAGGAGAGGAGAGTCTTTCCCCTAAAGCTGCTATATTACTGTCTCACCGCAATTAGAAATCCAGTTTCTTATTCTTGTTTGTTTTTGAGAAATGATCTCAACACATGTGTAGCCCTGGCTGTCCTGGAACTTGCAATGTAGACGGGTCTGACTTTGAACTCACAGAGATCCACCTGCCCCTGCCTCCTGAGTGCTGGGATTAAAGTTGTGCACTACTGCACCCAGGCTTAAGTTGTTTTGGAGTTTCACCTTTCACCTTGAAAATTCATGTTCATTAAACCTCTTCATATATGTGTTTATACACACCACACACACACACACACACACACACACACACACAATGTATGTATGTATAAAGGTTCCTTATCTGCATGGAATATGCAACACACTTGTCTATGACTTTGTAATGCTCCTTTGTTTTGCCTCAGGGCTGAGTGTATATTAATGACAAACATGGAAGTTCAACTTACTGATTTTACAAGGCACCAAGGGCCAAGGAAGCCAAGGGAAGGGAAGGAAGAAGCCCAGGGTTTCACAGTAGTGGGGTGACATGGCTAGGAAGGGAGTCGCTAGCACAGAGTCTCGTGGGCCTCCTGTACTAGTCACTGATCTCCCAGTGCTTTGGTGTACATGGTCTCCTCCCCAGTCTCTATTCAGAAACCACATTTATCAGACCAGAAACTCACTTAATCAGTGACTGGAAGTTGAGCCACCCTTCATGGCTATGATCAGACACCACCAGCTTGGTTTTCAGGGCAGGACACTCAGAGGCCACAGAGTCCACCTCTGAGACGAGGCTCCCTGTGGTCACAATGGCTTTGGCTTGAGACATTTGTAGTCGGTAGAGGATGTCCTTTGCTTTCAGCAGGGTAGTCCCAGGCATGAAGACAATCCCTGGGGGTGAGAAAGGATGATTTGATTTCACATCAATGGGTTTAGGCCTGGCTCATCTGCTGAGAATTCCCACAATACTGTGAAAAGTATGATCCACAGACCACCATCTTCTACCCCGCAGGGAATACAGAATCTCACATCTTGCACCAAATCTGCTTAGTCATAATCTGAATCTTAATAAGATCTCCAACTTATTCCTGTGAACATAAACATTGTAGGCTCTTCCTTAGCTCTTTCTAGAAGAATCCAAACAGAGGTAGATGGACCTGATTTGCATACACTTAGGCCAGATCAGGTAATAGTGCCTGTGAGGACAGTGTTGTTGATGCTTAGGACTGGCTACATCTCAACACTCCCTGCCCCAATTCCTCTTCCTCCCCCGTTAGTCCCTTGAAGTTATCTTGAATGTCCTTTGTTCCTTTTACCTCAGATTTAGCCACATTGTCTTATGAATGTTCCTGTGTTCTCTTTATCATTGCCAACACAGCCACCACCAGTGAGTTCAAGCCTGCCTGGTCTACTGGAGTCACAGCCTACTAGATGCCCTTCTGCATCTCCCTACCACCCCAAGTCCACAAAGCACAGTCCATTTCCCTCCTCGTTTCTTCTCTGCATGAACACCTGTGCCCTCTGTTTCTAGGGAGATACCCTACTCACTATTCTGACATTGAAGGCCACTCTTTATCTTCCATTCTTGCACTTTATTTTTCTCTTTCAAAATGGCTGTGTGTGCATGCATGTGTGTGCATGCATGTGTGTATGCACATGTGTATGTGTGCATGCACACACTAGTACTGACTAGTAGTCTTTGCATGTGGGGAACCCATTATTGGACCACCTTACTTTATGTCTAACCTTCTTCAATTCTCACCTCAGAGGACTCAACTATAGTCTTTGGCTTCCTACTAGCCATTTCTTATTTCTATAGATGCATGGTTTTTATTTTCTATATTTTCTCTGCTATTAGTTCTTGATTCCATATTACATTCTGTTAGATAATGAAAGGGAAAAAAGAAGAGAGGAAGGGACCAAAGAAAGAAGGGAGAAAGGGGGAGAGAGAGAGAGAGAGAGAGAGAGAGAGAGAGAGAGAGAGAGAGAGAGAGAAGAAAAGCATGTTACAGGAATATGCATGATGAGATGTGAAAGGTGGATTGCAAGAAGAGAATCCATGTGTCCTGCCACAGTTTGCATATGAAGGATCCCCAAAAGGCTCATATATTGAAGGCTTGATCCCCAGCTGGTAGATTCAGTGTTAAAAGGTGTTTGGATGACAAGGGCTGCGAGCTAATCAATGATTAATCTACAGATGGACTCATAATAGAATGAACTATTGGGAGGTGGTGGGAAGTGGGTCTTTGTTGAAGTAGGTCATTGAAGGCTATCTTGTTCCTGGTCTCTTCCAGACTCTTGTGTTATGTTTCCTGGTTCCATGAGGTAGGATACTATGTTCCAGCACATGAGCCCGTAATGATCTGCCTCACCTCAGGCAGCAATGGAGCCAGGCAACCATGGGCTGAAATCAGGAGACAAGGCAAACATTTCTACTCCTAACTTGATGTTTCCTCAACTATTGGTCACAGCAATGTGAGTCTGAAATACAAAGTTCCACATGGATTGCAAATCATACATAAATATGTATAAGTAATTTTAAAAGGAAGGGAACCCAGACTCAGAAAGACAAACATGGTATGTACTCACTCATAGGAGGATACTAGATGTGGAACAAGGATGACTAGACTGCTACTCACATCACCAGGGAGGCTACCTGGAAAACAGGACCCCAAGAAAGACACAAGGATCGCCCAATGACAGAGAAATGGAAGAGATCTACGTGAACAGCCTGGACATGAGTGGGGGTAATGAAGGGCGAGGGTCAAGGGAAAGAGAGCTTGGGGGAGCGGGAGATCCCAGCTGGATCAAGAACAGAGAGGGAGAACAAGGAATAGGAGACCATGGTAAATGAAGACCACATGAGAATAGGAAGAAGCAAAGTGCTAGAGAGGCCCACAGAAATCCACAAAGATACCCCCACAACAGACTGCTGGCAATGGTCATGATACAGTCCGAACTGACCTACTCTGGTGATGGGATGGCCAAACACCCTAACTGTCGTGCTAGAAACCCCATCCAACGACTGAGGGATCTGGATGCAGAGATCCATGGCTAGGCCCCGGGTAGTGCTCTGGGAGTCCAATTAGTGAGAATGAGGAGGGTTTATATGAGCGAGAATTGTTGAGACCAAGGTTGGATAAAGCACAGGGACAAATAGCCAAATGAATGGAAATACATGAACTATGAACCAATGGCTGAGGGGTCACCAACTGGATCAGGCCCTCTGAATGGGTGAGAGAGTTGATTGGCTTGATCTGTTTGGGAGGCATCCAGGCAATGGGACCGGGTCCTGTGCTCATTGCATGAGTTGGCTGTTTGAAACCTGGGGCCTATGCAGGGTCGCTTGGCTCGGCCTGGGAGGAGGGGACTGGACCTGCCTGGACTGAGTCTACCAGGTTGATCTCAGTCTGCGGGGGAGGCTTTGCCCTGGAGGAGGTGGGAATGGGGGGTGGGCTGGGGGGAAGGTGAGGGGAGTGGGACGGGGGAGAACAAGAAAATCCGTGGCTGATAAGTAGAACTGAATTGTATTGCAAAATAAAAAAAAAAAAAGGAAGGGAAATCTCTGCAGGAGATTTTTAATTAATAGCATGTAGACGTCATGATACAAATAAAAATCCTTCCCATAAGCCTACCATAGTAGTTTGTATTCAAGACAGTTAAGAGCTATTGACGCAGAGCCAAACCATGTAAAAGTCTCATTGGGGAAAAAGATTCACAGCATCATGCAGGAGGAATCAGGTGAATAGTGCCTGGCTTGAGGGATGAAATATTCATCATGGATGCTGGGAGAAGCCCACTTCCCACACACTCTGACGTGGCATACTGAGGGAGACATAGCCTTGCTTATAGGATCGCAGTCAAATACAGTGAAGCTGAAGAGAACTGCAAAGAAAGAGCCGTAAGTCCAGACATTGAGCTGAATTCCGCCAAACAGCTGGCTTGGATGCTTCAAAAATGTTGCTGTGCAGAAAAGTCTGAAGTGCTGTAGATTAAAGGGGTTGGAGGAGATCTGAGAACCACATACAATGTATGATTCTTGACTGGATTTAAAGAGAAATTGGCTCGAAAGGATATTATTTGGCCAATAGAAGAATATTTGTTACTAATGTGCATGGGTAACTGTGTAGCAGGAGTCTTAAAAGTTCTTATTAATAAAATCAAACCTGAGGCCAGTTATTGGGGTGAACGCTGGAAGATCAGAGAGACAGAACAAGCCACAGCTAACCTCACCTGGCCAACTTCTCAGCTGATCTAGTTTCCTCAGACTGGAAGCCTCTGTGTCCTCATATCCGAACCGCTCTCAGCTGAACTGTGCTGCTCAAAGCCTAAAAGCTTAACCAGCCAAATGCTTCTAGTTTCTGGTCTTCACACCTTATATGTCTTTCTGTTTTTGCCATCACTCCCTGGGATTAAAGGCTGCTTTCTGGGATTAAAGGCGTGTGTCACCATGCCTGGCTGTTTCCAATGTGGCCTTGAACTCACCGAGATCCAGAGGGATTTCTGTCTCTGGAGTGCTAGGATTAAAGGTGTGAGTGCCGCCATTTTCTAGCCTTTGTATCTAGTGGCTGTTTGTTCTCTGACCCCAGATAAATTTATTAGGGTGCACATTTTGGGGAACACATTACCACCACAAAACTGTAGTTCCCCAATCTTAGTCTTTGGGTCATAACTCCACTGTGAGTTTGTGAAGGAAACATCTTGGGTTTTAGCAGATTTTTTAGGTGATTGCAACCCGGTGCTTGTAGGTCTCACAACATCTACAAAAGATTTCTTGAAAGAGGAAGGGAGGGATACATGATATTATGTTTAGAGCATATTAATGCTGGTGTGTTAGGGAAAGAGGAAGAAAGCGTGTGAGTGTATGTGAGTGGGAGAGAGAGACAGACTTGAAGAATAAGGAAGGTATAGAGAAGAGGAAATATTTTGTCTCCCACTGAGGTGTCCATCCTCAGAGGGAGGGACAGAGGCTTCCTCTATGGTTCCAGTGTAGAAGCTTTGTCAGTACCAGGCTAGGTGCACGGCATCTACCATCCCAACACCCAGGTCCAGTGGGTCCCATGTGAATCACTGACCTGTTCGAAAGCAGCCCACTGTCACTAGCCACCACTCGGGCACTCGAGGCAGAATCAAGGCCAGGCGATCTCCCTGCTTCAGGCCACAAGTCTGCTCAAAGACGTTGGCAGCGCGACGGGTTAAGTCCCTCAGCTCTCGGAAGCTCCACTTTATCTCATCTCCTTGGCTATTCACCCACCACAGGGCCGGACCTGGGCCTCTCTTGCCCTCCTAGTTAAGATTATACAGCAAGCGTCACATCACTTCCTCCTTCCAAGGAAAAGGACAATCCACTTCCATAGTCACATTCCAGTGTGAGCCTAGCACAGTGAGATCCCATCTTAAGACATTAACAGACTCCAGAGAAGTAGGAAACTAGATTGGGGACTACCCTGAAGTCACATGTGACCATGAATACCCTTCAAGCTTCCCACGGAAGACGAACATCCTTTTCTCCAATAATCTGTCGTAGGTTTATATAAACCAATGGTTCTCAATCTGTGGGTAGCAACCATTGAAAAACACATATTTCTGATGGTCTTAGGAACTGAGACATGGCTCAGCAGGAAAATTACAGTTATGAAGTAGCAACAAAAATAAATTTATGGTTGGGGGTTCCTAAAACCATTGGAAATATGTGTTTTCTAGTGGTTGCTACCCACAGGTTGAAGACTGCTGATATAGACAGTGAGTTCCTCTCTTCACCTCAGTTTTCTCCTCTATAAAATGGAGACAACAATATTGCCTAAACAACTTTAGATAAATAAACCACATTAACAGTGTTTGGCACAAAATAGTTGCTCAATAAAATATTATCATAACAAAAGAAAAGAGCCTAAAGTAGTTGCTAAATGTTTGGATAATGTTTTAAAATTAAGGTATTACTAGAGGTTAGGGTATAAAGATAGAAGAGCAGGAGGCTGCATGTCCTTGTTTCCTCACAGAAACACCAACTAAACAATAACAAATTGACCAAAGTAGTTTTGTGAGAACTCTAGAAACTAGTGAAGAGTCTGCAACAGTTTAGCAGCTGCCCACAGTTAAAGCCACACTCAGAATGTAGGGCATTCTGTGGTATTCTTTCTTGACCTTGCTCCTGAGCTTCTGGCATGGTCCAGCACAGTCGAGGGGAAGCCATCTAATTTTGGCTCAGTGAAAAGACTGGAACTTGTTTGCAATGTCTTGGCCTCTTCAGGAGCCACTGGGTGAACTACTTTCTCTCTTGCCGGATTTGAATGCCTCGGGAACAGCACCAGGGTTTGATTCTTAGATTGGGTATCTCTGTACCAGCAGCAGGGTCTGTGGTGTGTAAAGACTTGTGGGCATCAAGAGCTAAGAGATGACGGAGGGAGTCAGCAGAACTGCCAAGGCCCTGAGAAGAGGCCTGGGTGAATTCCCAAAAGGAAGCGGGGTTAGTAATGTTGGCCATGTAAATGTGAAAATAGGTAGAGTGGGGAAGACACACAAACAGGTCCAGGGAAGATAAATGTCATAAAGGCTTGAGATGATGTTAAACTCCAACCTGACCACATTAGTGACAATCTTCACTTACATAAGCTAGTGCGCATGACTGCAAAATAAATGAGCTTTCCCCCCACATGTCTAACTTTCAACCAATGACCACAAGGCATACAAAAGTACAGAGAGATACTGTCTATTCAAAGAGACAAAACAGAGTCAAGAAACAGAAGCCCAAACTGTATGGACTTAGCTATTAGACAAAGATATTTTTTAATATCTGTGTTAAATTTGCTCAAACAGCTAAAGAAAAACCCAAAGATGAAAAGAACAAAAACACTCCAAAATGAACCAAACTACACTCACTATCAGTAGAGTGGTAACCTTCTAAAGGAGAGATAAGTTGAATCTAGGACCAAAACCAGTCATTGAATGGGCATGTGCTAGGGGATGATTCATCAGGAGATCCAAACAGGTAGAAGAAAGACTAGATGAATACAAGTCATTTGAAATTGTTGAGCGTAAGGAGCACAGCTGAAGAAATCTGCATTTTCCAGACCCATATCCATGTTCCTGGAGTCTCAGCAGAAGACAGCCATTCAGCTTATCTGCAGAAACAACGGCCCCAAACAGCAGGGTGTGAGGAAAGACCTGCATCATCTAATACAAACAGCTCAACAACTTCAGGACAAGCCCAGAGACCCATGTGAACTGTAATTGAAACGCAAAGGCCAGAAGCACAGGAGTGCCCAAAAGAAAAGCAACACACTGTGTCCAAGAAACCCTCAAGGAGACTGTCAGTCAAGTTCTCGGTAGAGGTTTATGCAATGTGGGAGGAGATGAGATCATGTATTTGAAGACCTGAGAGAGAAAAAGCAACAGCAACAACCAATTACTTCACATATTTTTCCAAATGTGAGAGAGAAATTAAGATATTTATAGACAGTTCAAACGGGAAAGAAACATCACCATCAGACTTCAAGAAATTACCTTGAAATGCAAGGAACTGGAAATTAACAAACACGAAAACACAACGCCTTTTGCAGACATGGTGACATGTATGAGTATGATACCATTATTGTTAGCCATTGGCTTGTAACTCCACCGTTATTTAAAATAATTCAACATAACTATTTATTTAGTCGTGTGTGTGTGTGTGCATGTGTGTGTGCACATGTGCGTGTGCCTGTGCGTGTTTAGGTATGCATGCCACAGCATGCATGTGGACGCCAGATGACAACTTTTGGAGCTGATGCTCTCCTACCCCGTGAACCCTGAGGATAGAACTCAGGTTGCCATGTCTGGCAGCAGCAAGTGCCCTTACCTGCTGAGCCATCTCACTGGCCTCTTCAGTTATATTTAGAAGACAACGATAAGGCTATGGTAAAGTACACTGTAAGAAGGCGGGATTTGTGACACGGATCATAAGGTTGGGGTTGAATAGAATAGGGCTGTGGAGGAGTAGGGTTTCTTCCTTATGTGATTGAGGCTGAGCTGTTGAAAGTTAAAAAGAGACATTATATGCAATCTTCATGGTAAGCACAAGAAAATAGTTATAGAATACACACAAAAGGGAATGAAAAGGAAATCACACATATTGCCATAGAAACTCAACATAAAGTAACAAAGGACGGCTTGAAGAAAGAAACAGAACAGCAGGACAAACAGAGCATTGTTTGTTCCATTTGTGGTCTTATCCGCATGTCGGGTACTCCTCAAGTTGAGTGAAGTATGTAAGAGACAGAATGGAAACAAGTTGGTGTGAATGTGATCTCTTACGGATATATTTGGGGACTGTTTCAGGATTCAACAGAAACTATATACACAAAGTGCCTGAGGACTCGATAGTAACATGTTTTAATTTCCAAGAACAACCAGGCTTACACATTGATATTTTAAGTACCTTAGTGAGCAACCGATTCTACTGTAAACTGTCTAGTTTACAGCTCATTTCTGTTTCTTGTTTTCTAATGAATTATTTGCCAAGATCCCAGGCTACTTCACATGAGTCCATTATATTTCCATCTTATGTCTTACAAATTAAATATGTTGAAAAGTCAGTGAAGTAAACAGCGGCAGTTTGGGCAGTACTGTTGAGTGATCCAGGGATCAGTTTCCGAGCGATGCTTGCTAGTGAACCACGAGAGGTGGAACAGAAAGTGGAGGCTATCACAGGAGCACCAACAAGGAAGGACCCAAAGTTAACCCATCCCACAAGTGTTTACTGAGGGACTACGATGGGTGAGGCACCAAATGTCACTACAGGCTAACAGTGAATGGGTCTGAGTTACTAATCATGAGTGAGACAGTTGGAAACGTTGAAGCAGATAGATCAAAGATATTGAAAATGAATATAAATGATATGGGGTGCTTGTAAATGGGGTTGGGGGGTGTTGGAGATACAGATGAAATGGTAATGGCTGACTATGATGTTATGAAATCCAGTCATCCTGGTCTTCCCTACAGGAAGATTTACTTGTTTGTTAATCCCATAAGCTGGTGTATGAACTCACTAATCATAACTTATGGAGGAAACATGGAACAAGCTAATGCTATTGTCCCCTCATCACCACTTTCTTCTTTCCCGACCCATCTCATGCTCTCCATATTCTCAACCAGATTTATTGTCTCGGCAATGAGGACACCCATTTATTTCTGAAGCAGAGGTGCTCTGACCTCTCGGAGAGCAAGACTAGGCTAAAGGTTGGGTTGTGGAGGCAGTCAGGCTGGATCCAAATTCTGCTTCCCTGTTTGTTAGATAGGTAGGAGGTTTCAGCAGGTCACTTGAACTCTCGGGTCCCCAGTTTCCTCATCTGGAAAATGGGAACAGCAAAAGATCAAATGTAAAGTGACTGATGTGGAACAGAAGCGTGTTCTCCATGACAGAGGGCTGTATTTTCCTTGGCACTGCCATGAAAGTTCTGAGAAAAGACGGCAGAGGAGGCATGTTGCTCTTGAACGGTAATCTATGAGTGCATGCTCCTAGGGAACATAACATCTACAGCTACTCCCCAACTTCATCTCAGCTGAGTTGTCTCCGTACAAAGATGGCTGCTGCATCTCTGTCAGGACTTGTCAACTAGGCCCGAGTGGCTCAAAGCATCACATCCGTCTACTGCAACTCCCAGTACCACTCCTACGTGCCTGTCCCTCTGTGTCTTGGGAAAAGACAGGCCAAGGGGGATTTTCTGTAGAGATACGGGATGCCTCTGCAGGCTACAGAGACTGCCTCTAACCCTAAAGCCACTCTCAAGAAGGTAGCTGACATGAAGGATCTCAGAGAGACTTGTCACTGTCACAGGATGACAGGTGACATGATTTAGATAAATGTGGTAGATGCTCCTGTGCACATTCTGAAAGCCTGTACCCTCTCTAGGCGTGGTGGCTTCCAGACCAGCCTGAGGTGTGATGAGCTGAACAGTTGGACTTTCTCACTAACTGAAGGTGAGCACTCAAACCCCCATAAACCTGCCAATTTGAACTTTGTGCTAGATCAGGGTTATGGAAGAACAAACATTCATCAAATAATTTTACTCATTGTACAAGTGAGTTTTAAGAATAAATTTACCACAATTTCGCAGAAAGACAATCAAACAAACCCACTGAAGTCAGAGAAGTGAGAAAATACCCAGACTAGGTATCAAGCCCTCCGATGTAAGCCTTTCCCACTACATGGCTACCTTAAAGAAGCCATGGGCTCTTCTGTATCTCTGGAGAATCCATGCATCCCTCTTTACCCAGTTAGTGCAAGATATAGCCACCAGGCTACTCCTATTCCTATGCTCCATCACCATGACCTCTTACCTCCTCCATCTGAGCCCAGTAGTCCAGCACGTCTCTTGCAAAGTTAAATTCCTCAGGTGAATCATAGTCATTCCATCTTTGAGTCCCAGCTCCTGCTGTCGATACACTGTGCTGATGAGATGAGCTCTGGGAGGAGCTATGGAAGCATTTGAAGATGCCCCATGGGATCTGAAATTTCTTCAGCCACTGCATAGTGAGATGGTCCTCTGGTATGAAACACAGAACATTCAAGTCACTGCCTGCCTTGCGAAGAGATGGGTTACATGCCAATCACCCTGCAGGAGCCTTCTCCACATAGCGTTGATGTGTGGTCCTGATCCATTGCTAGAATTACCTCTTGCTTCAGATGGGGATTGCTCTACCCAACTGAGGGACCACAAGGTGCAAAACGCCAGTGAATGACTATAACTGCTACATTTGCTTGGGACACATTCCTGGAGCTCTCTGGCATCTCCCTCTGATTTGATTCCAGGGTGGTAGTCATGTGGCCATCCCATTTGAAAACCCTGTTCCATGGGACAGGTTATCTTTACTCTGGAGACCTTTCTTCTTGTCAAGCCCAATCTTGTAATTTCCATACAAACTGTTATATCTTCATCTAAATCCTATCCCCAAAAGCTGATGATGGGTCAAAAGCTCAATAGTCAACCCTGGGAATTTTAAACACAAGCTAGAGCAATCACAATCTCTCTCAAAATTGTGTGTGTGTGTGTGTGTGTGTGTGTGTGTGTGTGTGTGTGTGTGTGTGTGTGTGTGTTCTGTCTGTCTGTCTGCATGTCTTTCAGTGTGTTTGGTATCAAAGAGTAGCTCAGACTGTCTCCTATTAGGACAGCCATAAAGTGAAAAGTTGGGGGGAAATTCCTGAGGTTATGATTTCTATCATGTGAAATAAATGAAGCTGATACCCAGAGACATGGAAATAAGGGTAGCGAGAGTCCTGTCCCGCTGCCCTTCTGCTATTATGAGCTTCCCCTGGGTTTTGTGGGCTTCTATATGGATTCCTACAGCCATACACCCATCCTCAGACTAGACAGTGCTCGTGTCTCAGCTCCTTACTGCTGATGCTGTGCAGCTCCAAGATCTTCCCTAGGACAAAGTCCTGGGCAGCAGTTCCCAGCCCATCACAGTCAATAAGAGAATAGAGCTCCACTGACAATTCTGTGAGATCATGAGTTCAAGGACAGCCTAGATGATAAAACCAATCTTAGGATAGCCTGGGCTACACAGCAAGATTCCCTCTCCAAACTGAAAACAAAACAAAACAAACCTGAACCCTGTATTTGCAAGATCACATAACTGGAGGCTGAGATGAGATGTTAAAGACTGAATGGAATAGTCTTAACTGAAGACAACAAAATGTTGTTGGCTTCTTGGGTACCGCAGCATCCTTTAGTTCCACTTCGGAAGTGAGTGTGCCTCAGGAGCAGATACTGAGTGCGGGCTCCCAGTGGCTAATCTTTTCTCCAGTGGCTAATCTTTTCTTCAGTGGCTATATTCCCACCTAGATGTCTGCATGATCTCAGGGTCTTCCTTAAATAGCCTTTACCCCCCCCCCCCAGGGCAGGGCAAACAGCCACTTAATATGTAGCTAAAGGGGCTAGGCACATAGCTCAGGGATAGAACACCTGTCTGTGCATGTGGCCATGAGTCCAGTCTCTAGCACTGCAAGAGAAATAGTCAAATAAACAAATAGTGGCTACCGACTTAAACAAAAGGGTGAGCTTGAATGAGGAAATACAGAACACTTTATCACGGGCTGGTTCTGTGCCCCCTCCTGAACTATATGTGGGAGTACTGACCCCAATACTTCTCAATGTGACTGTAATTGGAGGTAGGTACTTTCAAAAAGTAATTGAGTTAAATATGAGGTCATTGGAATACATTATGGTTGGCCTACTTTTTAAAAAAGGAAGCAGGCATTGGTAGTGCACACCTTTAATACCAGAACTTGGGAGGCAGACATAGTTAGATCTTTCTGTGAGTTTGAGGCTGGCCAGGAGAGAGGCAGTATTAAAAAAAAAAATGAAAAGAAAGATTAGCATTCTGACACAAGGTGTAGGCAAATGTTATCTGAACATGAAAACAGTCATCTACAAGCCAAGAAAAGAGGCCTCAAGTATTGATCTTAGACTTCCAATATTCAGAACTTAGAGAAAACACATTTCTGTCAAGTCACTCTGTCTGTGATAATTTTCCATGGCAACCTTCTTGTTCAAACAGAGAAGAAATAATGCTCTCTTGCAAACAGTTTGCACTTCTGATTTCATGTTTGTCTGGGAGCTGGTAAACACGGGAGTAGCTGGATGAGGACAGCTCTGGGTGGCTGAGAGGCTAGCCTTTAGCAATCGGACAGCACAAGTTCAAATTCCAGCACCTCCATTCACCATCTGTGTAACCTGGAGCAATTTACTTAACCTCCCTTTCAAACACAGATGGACCAACAGCGCCTATTGACCAAAACAATGTGGTGACATTCTGCAAGGCCCAGCACAGACAAGTAAGTACTCTAGAAGTAGGAGCTTTTGATGGCTAATTCTTTCTCCAGGGGAATGGAGTAATTAAGCCTGACCCAAAGAAATAGCATCTTAACCTCTGCAACAGGGTTAGAAGGAAGAAGTGGGGATTGGTGCATGGAATAGATGGTGCAGGGCAACTTTTGCACTGAAATACCCAGATACAATATGCACCACGGTGCATGATACAGCTTTGAACATCACCTGTATCTATGTATTTCTCTCTGTCCTCCTGAGGTGCACAGATCTCTCTCTAATAGCCCTGTCTATTTCTGGAACTGTGTATCAATATCTAAAAATTGCAACTCTATATATCACTATCTATGGCTCTATATCTACATAGCAGCAATTACATCAACACTATTTGATATAGAGATGAGTTTCTATCTATTCAGCATAGTGTTTGTTGACGGACACTAAGTTTTCAGCATAATGTTAGATTCTTCCCTCGTTACATTGCCAAAAGCTGGGAAATAGAAACTGGAAAGAGAAAAATCTTTTTGTGTCTATAGAATGTCTGAATCATAGAAAACGTTCTCTCTTGTTTATGAGACACTTATTATCAGGGTTCCCATATGGTTTTAGATCCTGTCAACTGGAGGAAGGTCAGCCCTCTTAGAGGTTATACTCTGAAGACACTACGAAATGATTTTAAAGTCTAGTGCTTTGAAATTTTTAAAGTATATTCTGGAGGCAATTTGGCCCTGTGGATTTGAGAGGGGCTGGGGCCAGGATTCTAGGCTTGTGGATACAGTACCTTGAGAAGTCCCTGGAATCAAATGTGTTCAATAAACCTTTGGACACAATATGTTACTTAACCGATCGACACGTTTGATGTGTTATAGGAAACTCGGTCACAGAGCCAGTATTTGACTTTTGGCTCTGACTTTACCACCTACTAGTTCTGTGGTTTTGGTCTCTTTCATTTGAGGAACATAGGTGATACCTACCACACTGATTTCCATGATTATTAGTGACATAAACACTTTGCCAGCATTGAGCCTGGGACGTACTAAGAATTTAAAAATGTTGAGGTTGATGTACCTTTTAACTACCAACAATTCTGAATCTCTCTCTGTCTCTCTCTGTCTCTGTGTGTGTGTACGCGCGTGTGTGCGAGCATGTGCATGTTTACATGCACACACATGTGGAGGTCAGAGGGCAATGTCAAGTACTTTCCTTGATACCTCTCCACTTTAGGTTTTGAGACAAGGTCTCTTACTGAACCTAATTTAGCTAGACTGGTTGGTTGGCAAGCGCCAGGGGTCCTTTTGTCTCTGGTTCTTAGCACTGGGATTATAGGGATGACAGTTTGCTTTCTATTGCTGTGATAAACAACATGACCCAAAGCAGCTTGGAGAGGAAAGAGTTTATTTAGCTTGGATGGCCTGATCATGCTCAGTCATTGAGGGAATCCAGGGCAGGGACACAACAGAAGTGGGAAGCATGGAGGAATGTTGCCTGCTGGCTTGTTCTTCATGGCTATCTCAGCTTGTTTTTAGTACCAGGCAAGATGCCCAGGGGTGACACTACCCACAGTGAGTTGGGTCCTCCTACATCAATCATTAATTATGAAAATGCCCCCACAGACTTGCTTACTGATCAAGCTGATGGAGGCATCTTCTCAGTGGATGTTCCTTCCTTCTTCCCAGATGGTCTAGCTCACTTCCAGTTGACAGCATAAGGCACATGCCACAGGGCACCTTACCTGGACTTTTATGTCGGTACTGGAGATCCAATTCAGGTCCTCATGCTTGTTCAGCAAATGCCTTCCCAGATTAAAGTCATTCACTTGAAAGAAAGAGAACCAGCCCCTGCACAGTGAAGTTTTCCTTCAGTGACTCCTCCTGTCTCTTGTCTACTCATTCCCAAACGCATCAGTTCCCTCCTATGAGCCCGCCACTGTGCTAAACACAGCTCATCTATGTTTCCAGGTCTTCCTCTCACCAACACACTCATCGTTACATTGTACTTAAAGAAAAGAACTGTCACAGAAATTAAGTGACTTGACCAAGGCCATATAATTGATAGGTGGTATTCTCAGAACTAAAAATTGGATTCTCAAGTTTAAGGCTTTTGTGGAATATATAAGTGCACACAGACACACAGACAGGCAGGCAGGTGTGTGCACATGTGTGTACATGCACACACACACACACACACACACACACACAGAGGGGGAGAGGGAGAGAAGGAGAGGAAGGAGGAGAGGGAGGAAGGAGAGGAGGAGGGAGAGAGAGTATGAGAGAGAGACAGAGAGACAGAGAGAGACTTTGTCTTTTTGTCTTACCTGGTGCTGTGGAGGACACAAGTGGGCCAGATCTACTTAGGAAAGGAGCTTGGAGAGTCTGCTCTCTGTGTGTAGTCCTTCCCAGGACTTGGAACACAGTTGTTGAACTTGGCCCCGGGCTGAGGAGAATGTTTAGCAGACAACTTCAGGAATTGGATGATGCTGTGAGGGGAGGAGACGCTCAGTGAGGGCAGAAAGCAGTGCAGCCTTCTAGAAGGGGCCATCAGCTAGGGGAAGGATTGTGTGGACACTGCCCAGTGTTTATGGTCTCCTCAAGGTGGGACAGGATAGGGAAGGGGGAGTCTTCATAAGTTCTCTGCAGCTAACCTGCTCCCCTTTCTCAGTCTGCACCCTTCTTTTTCATCTGTATGACAGCTGAAGGGCCACACAGCTTCACAGCTCAGATCCATCATCCAGAGCCATAGCAATCACATTGGTGTGCTCCTCAGTTCTACTTGCAACACCCGTCTCTTCCTGGATGATCCTCTCGCTCCCTTCCTCACTTATGAAAATGATAAATTCTAAGGATTTGTTTGAAGGCCAGTGTTAATGAGCTAATTCTTGAGAGGCTCATAACACACAGGGTAGACTCTGTTGGCTGTTTCATTTGGAATTCTAATTAAGAGAAACAATTTTATGTATGGGCAGAAGGCAGGGTCTTTGGAGTTCCAAAGGTTTAGACTTAAGTCCTGGGTCTGCCACTTGTGAAAAGAAACCCTGGACAAGCCATTACGTCCTTGAATTGTGGCAGCTCATCAATTAATGATGTTGGGGAAGTTACTGTAAGGTTAGTTCTGTGAGATCGTTGAAAGGATTATGTAACTATGTCTGTAGAGAACCTGACCCGGAAATTTAGATACAGGCTGGATATTGATGTTGCATTGATTGTTTAACGAAGGTGATCACACATGGTGCATGTAGCAGTCCTTTTTTATTACTCCAGTTTGGGGGTCAGTGTTGGAGAGTGGAGGACCTCCAGGGTTCTGGCCTGGCTTTCTCAGCACTCTTACCCTCCTAATCTCTGTAGAATTTGGGATAAAAATGCCTTGGCTTAAAGTTACCACTGAAGAAGACAGCAGAGGGCAAGCCTGACAGGCCATATGCTTCCTAGATGATTAATTTATGATGAATTTTTTTTTTAGCGCAAGGTAAGATTTACATTGGGGGAGAAGGGTAAATAAGAAGCCAGAGAGAGGTGACTGGCCACAGCAAGCTACGCATTAAATACCCAAAGTGCAAAAGTGCAAAAGTCACTGAGAGAAATGGAAGGGGTGGCAGTAGAACCCAAGAGATGCTGCATTCTGGACCCAGCAGGTGTCTACTGAGTGACCACACTAATACATGGCCAAGAGGACAGGTCTTTGGGGCAGGCAGTCTGAATATGAGTCTAACTTTCACTAGTTAGCAGTCTAGTGACACTGTGAAGGTTTCTGTCCCTCTGCCTCCATGACAAGTGGGTCCGAAGTAGAGAAGGCACAATTCTGAAGATTTTGTGTATACTCCTCTTCTGCCTCAGCCCTGACTGCAGTTAGCCTAATGCTACTGAACTAACATGCTAGACAGTGAGTTCTATAGTGAACACAATCACTTCTGGACTTGGGCATATAAGGGAATATTAACTGATCTGCACTCTCTTATGATTCAGCTCTGCTGGAAGCTGCACGGAGGCATGACAGCATAAATAACAGAGACACTATCAGTCATTCTTTCTAGATGATATTGTATTAGTGGAATCTCCATCCTGGACCTTTATACAGAACAACTCCCATAACCCTATAAAGAACCATTGATTTACTCATCACAAACACATCCTGAGCATCTCTTAGGTACAGACATGGCTTTGAATATGCTCTCCAGAAAGTTTCCTGCCCTGTGTCAGACAGGCAAAAAGCAACAAACAAAAACCTCAGGCTTTGTCTTCTACAATGATATACACAACAGTTCATGATCTGTACACAAAGACATAGAAGTTGAAGCCATTCTAGAACATTCCCAGAGTCACAGAGGACATTATACAAGGCAGGACAAGACTTGAATGTTATTTTATCTAAGCTACGTTTTCCTGCTCAATTCTCTCAATAATTTTCTGCTTTGACTATGTCTCATGTGTCTCCATTTCTGATTTCAGTTTTTTCACCTAGGGAAGGTATTCTTCTCCCAAGGATCTGGATATTGGTTGGATGGAAAAAACTTTCATTGTCTTTCCATTGCCTGGTCAATCTTATCCACCAGATCTGGAAAAAACTGTCTCTGGAAGACATAAAATCTCCCTGTAGTTTGGTCTTTGTTGTGTCCATAAGAAGGCATCAGTGGCTTCCTCATTCACCTCAGATCTCATGTGGAATAAGGTTTGAAAGACACTTCCCAACACCCAGCACACAGGAAGCACTTTTCAAATGGAAGCTCTCATTTTACAAAGAAACTTCAGACTAGATGCACATGGCTGAGGTCAGTGTTCTGTATGGATCCTCTATACTTACTATACAACTGTTTCTATTTCCTCATTTGAAGAAGAGAACAGCAGAATTGATTCCATATGATTGTTGTAATAATTAAAAATTATATACACATTACCTAGAAGAGTGCCTGGCATGTGTTAAGAGTGCTGTGATTGTCAATTATTAAGAGAGGAATAAGAAGACAGAAGAAATGATCCGTTTTTTTTAAATTTAAGTGTGCTCATGCAACACACTCAGAAAGTTGACACAAAATTCAACAAGGATTTTTCACATTAATACCTTTAGTATTAGAGACCTATAAACTTTAAATTTTCATTATTTAAATTTAAAAATTTATTCTCTCTCTCTCTCTCTCCCTCTCTCTCTGTATGTGTGTGTGTATGAAATGTGTGAATGAGGGTGTGTGCATGCCAGAAGACATCAGGAGTCAGTTCTCTCCTTCTATTGTGTTGAGTCAGAATCTCTTGTTTTTTTTTTTTTTTTTTTTCTGCTAGTCTGTATACTTTAGAATAACTGGCCTTCAAGCTTCCAGGAAATTCTCTTGTCTTTGTCTTCCATCTTGCCTTAACAGTATTGGAATTATGGATGTGTGGCATCAGATCTTGAAGTTTTATATGGAATCAAACGAACTCAGGTAATCAAACTCAGGTAACCAAGCTTGCATGACAAGCAACCTTACCCACTGAGTTATCTTGATGGCTCTGCATGACTTTTAACACTTTTTCTTCCTCTTTTTTCTCTTCCTTCTTCTTCTTCTTCTTCTTCTTCTTCTTCTTCTTCTTCTTCTTCTTCTTCTTCTTCTTCTTCTTCTTCTTCTTCTTCTTCTTCCTTCTTCTTCTTCCGCTTCTTTTTTCTTCTTCCTTTCTTCTCTCTCTCTCTCTCTCTCTCTCTCTGTTGTTCAAATCTAATATGGTCTTATAATAAAAAAAACCCACAGCCAGATATTGGGGTGAAAGCTGAAAGATCAGAGAAGCAGAACAAGCCACAGCCAACATCTATTACCTCACCAACTCCACGAATCCTCTGACTGAAAGCCTCTGAATCCTCACTTGAAAGGGTCTCAGCTGAACTGCTTTAGTTCCTGTTTCTTCACGCCTTATATACCTTTCTCCACCCAGACATCACTTCCTGGCATTAAAGGCATGTGCTTCCCAGTACTAGGATTAAAGGAGTGTGCTACCACTGTCTGTCTCTGTTTCCAGTGTAGCCTTGAACTCACAGATATCCAGATGGATCTCTGCCTCCCGAGTGACAGGATTAAGGGTGTGTGTCACCATTATCTGGCCTCTATGTCTAATCTAGTGGCTGGCTCTGTCTTCTGATCCCCAGGCAAGTTTATTAGGTTATACAATAAATATATCACCACCTCTCTCTCTCTCTCTCTCTCTCTCTCTCTCTCTCTCTCTCTCTCTCTCTCTCTCTCTCTCTGCAATGCTAGAGACTGAACCCAAGGTCTTGCACATGCTGGGCTAGCACTTTACTACTGAGCCTACTCAGTAGGAGTGAATTCATGCCTAGTACTGTAAACCTAGCAAACTGCCTGTAGGTGATAAGGTCATAGGCCTTAGAGGAGAACCCACTTCTGCCAATTTCCTAAACCAGTTTAACTTCTAACTGCATTGGAAGTGCTTATCTTTATTCCCAAAGATAAGTAGTTCTTACCCTTCATCAAAGACGCTTCTTTGTGAAGCAAATGGGGACCATTACAGAAATCCACACCCAGTCAAAATGCAGAGAACAAGGGACTGGGGTGTCCAACCCCAGCCGACCTATCTGCAGCACAGTGCTCACGCCTAAGGCTCAGGGAAGACTGCTGGGGATGGGATAGAAAGACTGGAGGAGTCAGAGGACCAGAATGTCTGCTGTGAGACAGGGTCTTTCACATATGGCAGGGTCATCACACCCAGGACATCACAGAGGTTGCTTCAGCAAGACCTGTATAATGACGACATCTGTTGACACGCCAATGTTGGTGGGAGAAATCCTATAAGGTCCTATCCCCTGATAAAGAGCTGTGGAGAATGAAGGGCTATGGAGAGAGGGAGCATCAGAGAGGAGCCCCTGATGGGTTATTCAGTCCAAGTGGTCATTCCTAAACACACACAGGCACCACTAAATGGGCCCGTATACATACATCTACCTGTGTATGTAACAATAATTAAAGGAGAGGTCATGGATTTGAGGGGGGGCATGGAGGAGTTAGTGGGGGAGAAGGAAGAGTGGAAATGACATAAATTAAAAAAATAACTTAAGAAACGTGACCCAGTCTCAAGAAAAACAGGGCATCAGTGGGTAAAACTGATGACCCAGATTGGGAGTAGTAGATAACAATTTTAATAAATGCTGTAGAGCTTCTTAAGGACTAGAAGAAAAAGAATGCTAAAGAGAAACAAAAAGCACTTTTAGCAGAAAAATAGAATTTTTAATTGGGAATCATTAACTGAAAAAACTCTTGTTACTTTAAATTAAAAATTAATTGACTGGACTTTCTGGCAGATTCAAGATGATCAAAGGAAGTCAGTGAACCTGAAATGAGATCAGAAGAGATGGCCACTCAGAATAATAATAGAGAGAACTTTGAAACTGTGAGTGAAACATCGGTGGACCTTGGAAGCATTAGT